CTGTAGGGAATGATGGAGCCCTTTCTTCATGTCCATCTGGTCAGAGTTGGACCCTGCGGAGCTTCTTTCTGAGCGGCTACTGACTCTGACCCTCTGCACTCTCAGACAGAATAAAACATGTTTTCCTATTTCACACAGGGGAGGTAAAATAATACATTAAAGTTAAGACATGTTGGCTTGGGAGCAAACCGAGTCCAACATGAATGAATTCTCACCCCAAAAAGTATCCTGCTGGATTCAGACAAACCAGCCATGTGCGTTTTCACAGCCCATTTGGCTCGTGGTCATTTATCTGGCAGGTTGTGTTTTAATCAGTGGAGAGATGCTTCAATTATCACCTCTATTAATAGGTCAGGGAGCAACAGAGAGCCGACCCACGAGGTAATACAGTGCATTATGTGTCACTCTGGTGTTAATTAGAAATGATCACCTGAAAAGGTCACCCAGGTGGGGATGAGCCAGCGGTGGGTCACAGATGAACCTCACGTGGGAAAATATACCTCAAGGGAAAAGCAGCTGTTCTTTAGCGAAGCCTTTGTGAGATGAACTCATCATTCATCTCTTGATGCTGACGCCCAAAGAAAGGGTTAAATATTTCATTTATGCAGTGAAAGGAGGAGGGTTACCCCTTGTTCTACACTGGGAAAAATTCATAAATAAAGAAAAAAATGCATTCTATTCCTTTTCTTTTCCTCCTGCAGGATTATTACATTGTTTTTTCATGACTAGATTTTAAACTTTTCCAGACTTAAATTAGCAGAAAACTATAGGCTGTTTCCAAGTTAAGACCCAGAAGTTCACTATGAATTTACTGCTTCTATTGAGGTCAGGTTATTAATATAACAAAAGGAACAGCTTAAAACAGAAACAAGGAATAAAATATAGAGAAAAAATAAACGATTTAAACAAAGAAAAAAAAATGAAGAAGAGATGGAATATGGCAAATAAATGAACCAAGGAAGAGGAAGATATAAATTAAATGAGGAAAAAAAAAGCAATGCAAAGAATAAAAAAAAGGAGAGAAAAGATTAAGGGAAAGGAAATGAAAGGAAGAAGAAAATGAGAGGCGCGGATTGGAAGAGCAAAGGAAGGAAATAAGCAGAAAGAAAATAGAAAAATTAAAAGAAAGGGAAATAAAACAGTGAGATAAAACAGTGCGGATGAGGATTTCCAGTTTGAGCACCACCACGATGGCTGTGCTGTGAACGAGCTCCTGAGGAACCCTGGAAATGAATTCATAATCCTGAAAAATCCAATATGAAATGAAAAATGGCCAAAAATCGCACTTTGACCCAAAATGGCCGACTTCCTGTGGGTTTTAGGGCATACCTCCAAGAGACTTTTTTACATGACTTGAGGAGATCTACCTGTGTGCCAAATTTCAAATCTCTGTGACTTACAGTTTCCACCAACTCACGTAAGCGGGGGGCTGTGGCGTAATTTGGGGGCGGCCATTTTGGATTCCATTATAGACCTGCTATTTCACGCGGGGGACAATTTACTGCCACGTTTTCCTGAGTTTTTGAATATGCGAAGTCCCCGTAAAATGCGTTCAAAGTGCCAAAAACAAGCGTAATAATAATAATAATAAGAAACTTTCGAAATACAATAGCCCTTCGCAGCGCTTTGCTGCTCGGGCCTAATAACCTCTAAAGAGGAAGAAAGAAGGGGTTAGACAAAAATAAACCCACAACCGACGTTTGTCAGACGCCATAAAAATTTTGTTTGATTCAGTAAAGAACGCTAGCTTCTTAGGAAGAAGTGCAACACAGAGCAGAGCAAAAGGAACTAAAAAAAGGAAGACAATGGCAGAGTTGGACTTTCCTTTAGGAAATATAAAAGCTTTCGTCAAGAAAATAACTAAATCAAAGAAGAACTAATAAAGGTGAACGCTAGACTTGACGAGGTGGAGGAGAGGATTGAGAATGTGGACGGGAGGATTTAGAACACTGAGGAAATTATGTTGGAAAAATATAAAACTGCAGATAAGTGTGGAGTAAAGGTTAATCGACCTGAAGATCTGTACACGAAGGGGAACGTACTTCCCTTTATGGTGTTCCTGAGAGGCCAGAACAGGACAGCTGGTGAAAAAACTGTTGAGTGACAGACTGGGTCTGTCCCAAGATGAGACTGTTGTTTTTTTTATTAAGGGCAAGTTAAGGTAAACAAGTAATGTTTTCAAGGTGGGAGAGGTAATTAGCACAGTGATGCTATAACCTGCACTGATCTCCGTCTCTAACCTATGAGAGATTTGCCTATGGAGGGTACCTTCCTGGGAACTCTACCTTGGAAACCAAGTTCATATTGTTGTTTTACATTGTCCTTATTTTTCTCTTATGTTCTGAGTTCCACGTTTTAAACCGGGAGCTTATTAAACTTTAAAATAACTTACCAGCATAATTTAAATGTGTAGCAGATTTCTGAAAACTCTCAATCAACATCATTGGCCTACACCAGTGATTCCCAACCGGGGCTACGTGTACCCCTAGTGGTCTGCGAGTGCATTGCAAGGGGTACATGATAATATTCTATTTCTTAGGTAGTAAAATAAAGTAGGACAGGGAGCTGATTTTCTGTGTGAGGACCCAAATAATAAACATAAAAAGGTTTTTCTTCAACCAAAAAGTAAGTTTACCTTCAGCTTTGACACACACAAGCAGTGGAACTGACTGGATGTAGAGAACAGCCTGGAATCAGCTGGAGCTATCGGATCTCATCAAAGCAGCTCAGGTGTTGTGAATGTTGAAATCAAATTAAAATAAATGGAGTCAGTCTGATTATCATTTTTGTTCTGTATTTGTTCCCAAAAAAGTTCCAATAAAAGCAGATTTATAGTATTTTATTTTTTATTTATTCTGATTCCTTACCAGCTTCCGAGCGACATATACACTATATTGCCAAAAGTATTTGCTCACCTGCCTTGACTCACATATGAGCTTAAGTGACATCCCGTTCCTAATCCATAGGGTTCAATATGACGTCGGTCCACCCTTTGCAGCTAGAACAGCTTCAACTCTTCTGGGAAGGCTGTCCACAAGGTTTAGGAGTGTGTTTATGGGAATTTTTGACCATTCTTCCAGAAGCGCATTTGTGAGGTCGCACACTGATGTTGGACGAGAAGGCCTGGCTCTCAGTCTCCGCTCTAATTCATCCCAAAGGTGTTCTATCGGGTTGAGGTCAGGACTCTGTGCAGGCCAGTCAAGTTCATCCACACCAGACTCTGTCATCCATGTCTTTATGGACCTTGCTTTGTGCACTGGTGCACAGTCATGTTGGAAGAGGAAGGGGCCAGCTCCAAACTGTTCCCACAAAGTTGGGAGCATGGAATTGTCCAAAATGTCTTGGTATGCTGAAGCATTCAGAGTTCCTTTCACTGGAACTAAGGGGCCAAGCCCAGCTCCTGAAAAACAACCTCACACCATAATCCCCCCTCCACCAAACTTTACACTTGGCACAATGCAGTCAGACAAGTACCGTTCTCCTGGCAACCGCCAAACCCAGACCCGTCCATCAGATTGCCAGATGGAGAAGCGCGATTCGTCACTCCAGAGAACGCGTCTCCACTGCTCTAGAGTCCAGTGGCGGCGTGCTTTACACCACCGCATCCGACGCTTTGCATTGCACTTGGTGATGTATGGCTTGGATGCAGCTGCTCGACCATGGAAACCCATTCCATGAAGCTCTCTGCGCACTGTTCTTGAGCTAATCTGAAGGCCACATGAAGTTTGGAGGTCTGTAGTGATTGACTCTGCAGAAAGTTGGCGACCTCTTCGCACTATGCGCGTCAGCATCCGCTGACCCCGCTCCGTCAGTTTACGTGGCCTACCTCTTCGTGGCTGAGTTGCTGTCGTTCCCAAACACTTCCATTTTCTTATAATACAGCTGACAGTTGACTGTGGAATATTTAGGAGCGAGGAAATTTCACGACTGGATTTGTTGCACAGGTGGCATCCTATCACAGTTCCACGCTGGAATTCACTGAGCTCCTGAGAGCGACCCATTCTTTCACAAATGTTTGTAAAAACAGTCTGCATGCCTAGGTGCTTGAATTTATACACCTGTGGCCATGGAAGTGATTGGAACACCTGATTCCAATAATTTGGATGGGTGAGCAAATACTTTTGGCAATATAGTGTATATGTTGGTTTTTATTTGAATTTAAATTCCTAATCAGTTTTTGTACATCCCAGTCATATGCAGTCATTTATACTTCTGACTGAGAGGTACTTATGGTAGGACAAAATACCTAAAAGGGTACGCGGTAAAAAAAAAAGTTGGGAAACACTGGGTTACACAACAAAGTGAAAAGGTGAACTTCTAATATAAAAAAAAAAATTTCCAAAGATAATTTGAGGTAAAATATGTGAGTTTCTTATTTTTTTTTTTACAATATAAAAAACCCCAAACATTTTTGTTACTGTTTGTTGTATCTTGTATTCTTTATTATTCACTTTAGGGATGAAACAATTAATCGTGATTCATGCATTATTCAAATAATCGGCAAGTAATTTAGTAATCGATTAATCGTTAACTGGAGAGTAGAGACCATAAGATATGCTTATAGCTGTAAGTGACCCACTTAGAGCTCTAATTATATCAAAATTCTCAAAAAATGCATGAATACATTGCATTTAAGATAAAGAAATGTTTTTATCTGTCAATGTTCTCTATCCTGAACCCATCAAGCGGAAAAGATTGTTTCACCTGATTTAATTTTGTAAAAAAACTTCTTTCAGGAACCTTTGGCTAACTGCTTATTAATTGATTAATCGAAAAAATTTGCAAAATAATGGTTATTTGCAGCCCTAATTAATTTACTCTTTTTAACTATAGTTATAAATTTTAATAAATTCTCTGAGTTTACTCTAAAATTCATTCTTGCTCCTGAGATCACCTGTTCCTGTTGCCAATGGCTAAAAATACATCCGGAACATCATCTCTTCCATCGCTGAGCAGAGAGACCAACACTTTTGTGGTGTGTGGATGGTTTCTGAACTCACTCTGTGGACACTGCTCGCTGGTGCAGTTTATAGACTGGAGGTCGAGCCCCTGGCAGTCTTTGCCCCCGGTGCCGGGCGAGGGCTGGGAGCACTCCCTGCTCCTCCACATCGAGCAATCTGCGCCGCATGCCGACCACTTGCTCCACTCGCTCCAGCCTCCATCCACTACAAACACACACATTTAAAACATGGCTGAAGTTAAATATGCACACATGGCAACAACAACAACAAAAAACTTTATCTTTACAACTTAGTTTACAGGAATAAAACTGGAAAGGAAAGCAAGCTGAAAAGTGTCAATGAAAGATATTCAAACACAGTAAAGTATATTTATGAAACATATGCAAACAAGTTGGTGGAGGTGTGTAAGATGAGAACATGTAGATACAATGTGCAAAACCACTTGCTATGCAGTGTAATTCTGGCCCTAGAGAGGCATGCAAATGCAGTTGTGCGTACTTTTTACATCCATCACAGGCACCGAAAAAACCACGGCATATAAAACTGCTGAGGAGAGCCATGTTTGTTTCTATTCTCCTTTCTTTGTGTACTTTCAACATGTAAAGCAGATGCAACTGAGATAAACCCCAGAGGTGTGAACGTGCTGTGGCCTGGTCAGCCAACCAGATCGATACAGAAAAACTGCTTTAAAAGCACATGAATGTATACATACAGCGGCTCGCAGAGATGTTCACACTCTTAACTTTTTCACCTTTTGTCACATTACAACAACAAGCTTCAATGTATTCAATGAGGAGTCAATGTTATTACGTTGATTTTAAGTTACAGGAAAGAACAAAAGAACAATACAGAACTGTGAAATCTGAAAAGCGGGGAGTACATTTGCATGAGTCAATATTTGCTAGAAATACCTTTGACCAAAACTACAGCTGCAGGTCTTATGGGCCTGTATTGGCTACCAGCTCTAAACATCTAGATACTGATTTGATAGAACTGCAGCTGCAGCATACTGTTTGCAGTTTCTCTTACAAAAGGCCAAAATAATTGATTTGATTAATTAATTATTGATAAAATCCACAACTAATTAAGCAGCAGATTAATAATTAACTGGAATATATAGACTGCATGATTTGTAAAAGCATATATAAACACTTTGGATTTAGAGTTAAAAAAAAATGTTAGGGAATATGCCCTATCTAGAACTCCTCAAGTGTCATAGTTTTAGCTTAACCTGGTTTAAAGTTGTATAAAACCTTTAATTCAATTCAATTCAGTTTATTTCTATAGCACCAATTCACAACACATGTCATCTCAAGGCACTTTACAGTTCAACCAGATCATCCAGTCAGATTGATTCAAAGTTTTCTATCTAGGGAAAACCAACTGACTGCATCGACTCATTGACTCGAATGCAATCCCTCGCACTAAGCATGCTTGTAGCGACAGTGGAGAGGAAAAACTCCCTTTTCACAGGAAGAACCCTCAAGCAGAACTAGGCTCAGTGTGAGCGGCCATCTGCTGAGGCTGACTGAGGTTGTAAGAGACAGAAGCAGAGATACAAAAAGCAAAGCCAGGTAGACGAGCAGAGAGCACATCCAGCCAGTCACGGTCAGAGAAACAGGACCACACTGGAAAACAGGCTGATCTCCAACATCTATAAACATCTATAAAACCTTTAAGGTGCCTTTTGATCAGTTTATTTCTATAGTGCGAAGTCACAATACATATCATCTCCAGGCACAGAGTCGGTTCTATCAAATCATTCAGTCAGACTAGTTTAACGTTTAAGGAAAACCATCTGATTGCATCCAATTATTGTTTTGCAGGATTTATTCCTGCAGGATGAGCACGTGGCATCAGTATATGCTTGCATATTGTCATTAGCTATGTTTCCATTTATAGTGTGCGCAGAACTATGTTGATATTCTGCTAATTTCAAAAATGAACACTTTTGCACTTGCAGTATTTCCATAAAAAAACAAATATGGTTAAGATTTAACATGAATACATTCGTTGGCGCGATAGCTCTGAAAACAACATGGCAGTCTCAGTCTGATGTAAACACATGAGATTATGCATATTTCATTCATGACTCTAGTGGGCGCCACCATCCTCCAACTAATTCCGGTTTTCTTTTTCCTCTTATTATAAGGCAGTAAGGCCCAGTTTCAGATTACGTGACTCTTGTTATAAATAAAAAAATAAAAAAATAAAAATTCCATTGCAGTTTTGCAAAATATAAAAATTCCGATTTGACCGGAAAAATCACCCCATTTAAGTGTAACGACCTTTTATTGTAAATGTGATTTCTTTCAAAGTTGCAGTATTTCCGATCAGAGAATATATTTACTTAATAAGAATTTGCGAAATTTGATGGTCAATGGAAACGCAGCGATTGACTCTACAGCAACCTCTTATACTGAGCATGCATGCAGCGACAGTGTAGAGAAAAGCACTCCCTTTAAACAGATTTTTAACACCTTTACAAACACAATTGTATTCAAACTGTTATAATACACAACATTAAGTGAATTTGAATGCCAGACAATTACAGCGAATCTGATTAAGTACTATTAGATATTATGCCACACTTCTACCATTTTCATAAACTTCCACAATAATGCGCAACTTAATGTCTGTAAATGTTATATTAGCCCACTAAAATATGTAAATTGTGTAATTGTTATTTTCTAGGGGTGTGAATACTTTGCCTAGGTACTGTACCTCTAAACAATATTTCTTGAGAAAAGTCAAATTTTGGAGAAGCAAGAAACCTGCTTTGGTTCTATTGCTTAGTCGAACGAGACGTTACTGTAGCAACTGTGATGCCGACTGCAGTGTAACGCAAAACACAATACAGGTGGTATTATTATGAGCTAAGAAGGGAGTACATTAAAGCTGCAGGCCAGTCACAACTTCAAACAGCCCCATCATCAGCACTTGCAAAATGAGACAAATGATAATGGGCCAGTAATAGTTGTGTGCATGACCGGCTGTAAGAAATATCAGCCGCCTTTTCTTCACACAGAGAAGGAGGCCATTTCACAACGGTGGGGGAAATTTGGCATTGTGGCCATTGGAGGTGGTGGCTGAGAGCGATATTGAGAGTGACACAGCGCTGGGCCGGGAGAAGGTTACCGTTCGGCTAATGGGAAAAAGAGCAGTAATGAGCTCTCATGGGGGGAGAAAACACCTCTATCTCGCTCCTTTTTCCCAAATGTAAGGGTGAAGGGGACCTGATGACGTTCTTCTGCGCACAAAAAGTAGAAGCACACCTTTGTGACAGCGGTGACCCTACTACCCCCTAAATGACCAGAGGCTAGTGTTCATTAATCTGGGTAATAAAGAGAACAAGGGAAAGCCACAGAAGTTCAAGAGCCATTGGTTAATAAAACATAGGTAATATGCTATAATCTTTTATATTTGTATTAAAAATTGGCTCAGTGTGCAAATCTTAGTTTGGAAAAGAAAGCAAAGGGGTATCAGGGAAATTGTTTGAATAAAAATGGTCTTTATTTTGACCAAATCTGTCTTCATCAGATGACTACCAGAAAATTTGAGTGCGTCCCTGTGCCTGTGAGGGTGTGTGTGTGTGTGTGTGTGTGGGGGGGGGGGGGGGGGGGGGGGGGGGGGGGACGCTGATATAGCTTGGATTCTTTTGCAGTCAGATCAATTTGGCAGGGAGAGCAGAACCAATCGGATAATTGTCCTTGTTTGGCATTGAGTGGACCCATCCGTGGGCCAGCGGGCTCATCGTCCGGGCCCGGAATGAAAATGATTGAATAGCAAATTACATCCTAATGAATATATTATGTTGCCCCTCAGTTTATCCACATGGCTGTGAAATAAAGAGATGATATCAACATCTGCCCTGACTAGATGATGAAATTCTTCTTCTCCTTTTTCCGATACAAAGCAAAACTAATGACCATGCAAATGACATTTTCTAACGAGGAGTGCAGGCCTGGACACAAAAGCTATGCTTAGGGGATGCAGACGTGAGACGAGCATTGAGACCCAAAACCCGGTGAGAACCAAAAAAAAAAAAAGATGATGATGATGCAGGAAGGGCAGTTTTGATTGCCTGGCTCTGATTGCATGTCACACAAGAAAGAAAGCATAAAAAAATATCTCTCAGTTTGCTATTCATAGGACAGTAAAGCGCAACATTTAATGCTCTGGAATAAGAGAAAACAACTAACAGATGTCATGTTTTTCCTTTCTAAAAAAACTCTACATAAAAACTAACCCAACGCCAGGGTTTTTCCAATTTAAATCCCCACAAGGAGATTGTTACTTCCACTGCAAAAGGCACCTTAGCTGATTTTCAATCTCGCAGCGCCCCAGGTTTCAGGTCATGAACGTCTCTGAGGAGGTACAGTAATACAATAACCCAGTGGCAAGCCCTCCCCCCACCCCCTCGTCCATTTGGACATGTTGCCAAGCGAAGGAGCAAAAGAATCTGACCATTCTCTATAGGTCAATGGGAAGGCCTCACTGAGACTCTGTGTTTCAAAAAGGACAACAGCCGCTGACGAACACTCGCCTACGGATTCTGTCCTTGAAGAAAACACGGGGAGGTGGACAAATACCACTGAGAGCAGCAGGTTGTCCCTCTGCTTCTACTGTCCATTCGGTGCACCTGTGTTCACACTTCAAAAGCTGATTGAAAGAAGGAATAAGAGCCTCTTTTTTCTGCACATTGGTGAAACAGCATCTTGTTAATATCTAATCCATTCAACTTTAATATGGATAAAGTAACTGTTGATAAATAACTAAAGAAAAGCTTAGCTCACTCAGTGGTGCTTAAAGCAGAAAACGAAAGCAAAATGATATAATCTGGAGGACAAATGGCACCAAATGATTAAAAATGATGCAAGTCTGTCACCAGATGGCCACCGTCTTTTCCCAGTGAATTAATGCGCTCTGCCGCCACATTTATTACCCACAGGCTTCGTTTATTCTGCGGATAAAAACCTGCACTCTGCAGAACGGATTTCAACAAACGCATGACAGCGTACTTCCGAAGAACAATTAGACCTTCGCCTGCGGTGCAGAAAAGAGACGTATGGGAACATGTGTCGGACTCATCCATTCGCAGACGCAGACATACAGGAAGGCGTGCACAAGCACTCAAGCTCAGGGTCTATTTGTTTTTCCAGCGGGTTGAATTCTCACAACTCCTCTGGAAAGCCAGAAGGATCGTTAACATTTTTAAATAATTCACTCAAGTTATAAACCTCTTCAGGTTGTTTGGTGTTTGCTCTCCTTTCAGGAAGGATCTCGGTCTCTGTGTTGCCTTCCAATATCGGGTGACTAACTGCTAGCAGTTGGCTGTGAAGATGTGAGTCTTTGTTGGAAATGTTGGCATGATCTGACATTTTGCCGCTACTGTTGGCTCTGACTGCAAGTCAGTGCAGGGGCACAGTCAATAAAAGGGTGAGGGATGGACTGCTGAATTATGTGGGATATTTCAGCGGGATATGCTGGGATGGAGACAAGAGGACAGGAAAGAAATGGTGGCGAGTGGATTGGGGGGGGGGGGGATGAGATGAGCTCCAGCATAGTTTGGCTACTCTCTGTCTCAAGTGTTGATCTGCTCTGCTCTCAGCCTCAGGCTTTAGCCTCAGCCTCCTCCACAGCTCCCTGCGTCTCCCTCCGCCAACTCTCATTAAACACTTTGGAGACTCAGACAAAAATACAGATGAGCCTCCATGGCTTCGCACGTTTCCAATGAGAGGTGGGAGCTCGCATTTAGACACAAGAGTCATCGTGCAACAGACGTGTGGAGAGTTTTGTTACTGATGGTGCCAGGCTGTGGAAGGTGATCTATAATGTATGTGTGTAAAAATATGCCTCTGCGGCTGACCTGCTCAGGGGGAATGCTGCTTCTTTTTTAATGTGAGAGCAACCGGGTCTTAGCATATCAACCAGAAATCCACATGAAGACTTGGCTAAACAATACTCAGTTTGCAGTGGTGAATTCTTGTTGTGATGAAACCAAAGTCTTGGTTAAACTTTGTGCTAATTTCAGTGGCTTTTATTGTCATTTTATGTGACAGTTGAGCATAAAAGTAGCTCAACATCGTTAAGGGAATCGGGGAAATCATACGTGGTTAAGGATGTTTTTAGAATTATCATTCAAATCTAATACAAACTAGACATGTAGCACCTAAATTAATCTAAAATCTAAAATAAAAAAAACACATAGAAAGTTCAGCGTATGCCAGCGTTTTAGGAGATTCTACGATGTCAGGCATAAGCTGGCTAAATTGGCAAGGTGTGACAGGGGCTTAAAGAAGCTCAAGGTATGATCAGAGATTGGGAATCCGAAGTCAACAAGTCATCTCTGTCATGTGTTTGTTTTGCCTGGTCACTGAACTAGGTAAGTCCAATCTACATAGTTTAATTCACCCTGAAGATTGGACTCACTTGGTTCAGTGGCTGGGCAGGAAAAACACATGACATAGAGATGACTTATTGACTCCTGATCCCTCATCTCTGTGTATGAATACTTAGCATGGTGCGTTGTACAAGAAGGTAAAAACACCAGAGCTAATAAACTGTACAAACGATCTAGAAATAAGTCAACATTTCTTAAATTAAGACTAATTACCATTAATTTGAGTAGGTAAATTAGATTAGATTCAATTTTATTGTCATTTCACATGTACAGGTACAAGGCAACGAAATGCAGCTTAGGTCTAACCAGAAGTGCAATAGCAGCATGTGCAGGATAAATAATGGTTCCATAAATACAGGACATGGGTATTTCTACTGAATGAGTATAGAGATGAATACTATTATAAATAATGAATATAATATATAGATCACTAGTGTTATGAACTAAATTTACAGCTGGATATGTACCGAATATAATATACAGATGGATATTACTATATAAAAAAAAGCTTTTTACAGTTATGTACAATAGCATAATATACAGATGGGTTTTACTATAAAATGAATAAGATGACTTGCCAATGGAATTAGTATTTTTACTCTTAAAATAAGATGATTAAATAATATGCCCTTGAAATAAGGCAATGCAAAATTTGTTCTTCCTATTTTAAATGTTAATTGTCTGGTTCCAATGACAAAGTCTCTCTTGCCTCCTCAATTAAAGAACAAATGCACTTATTTTAAGAAAAAAATTACATCTATATTTTAATTTTTTTCCCCCACTGTAATAAAACAAACTTCAAGTTTAGCTATTTAATGAAGTCTTGAAACCAGACCAGCATTAAATCATGTAATTTTAACGAAGGAACTCAAAAACAAAGCAGTCGGGGAAAAAAGAAAAAAGAAAACACAACCTCTCAAGGCTGGCATAAAAAAATAAAGAACACTACTTCTGATTCCGAATGTCAGCAGTGTCTGAATAAATAACATGATGTCTATCTACGACGTTACAACTCTCCATGCAATCTGCTCCTCTCAAGTCTCTTTCTGAGATGGACTTAAATCACTATCTAGACCTTTGAAGGCTAGAAGCACAGCGATAATTGAAGTTGTTCTGCAGTAAGTGGTGATACTCTCTCCCTCTCTCACACGACGCAAGGTTTGCTCCATCCTGTGTGCAACTCTTATTTGCCAGTGGTCTGGTCATGCATCCAGGCTCATGATTCATCCATTTAAAGATTATTTGGCTGTTGAACCAATGTAGGACCCTGAATGTCTATCAGCAAAAGAAACAAAAAAAAAAAAACGAGTACTTGTTTATCTCACTGCATACATGAGGGCTTTGGTGCTCCTTGTAAATAAACAGTTCAGCGTTCACGTCCCCGATGTTGCAGCCTCCGGCCAGCTACAGACAGCCGGGTCCGTCAGTGCTACTGATGTTACCAGCTCAGACGGGTAAATGTGAAGAAAAAAAACCCGTCTGAGCCCCTGTTCTGTTGCCAAACAACAGGACTGACAGGTGTAAGTGGGGTCATGTTGCCCTAGCATTTCCCATCAAGAGAAAAAAATGATATTTTTCTCTCCTGAAAGTCTCTGTAAAAATATATTTTGTGGACACAATGCAATTTTTTTTTTCTTTTTTGGCACAGCCTCCTTATGGTGGGAATTACGCTCTTTCTCCTTGAGGAGCAGGAGAAAGATGAAGGAGGAAGCGGTTTGGTCTAACAATAGCAGCTTGGACTGACATTAATCTCTTTAAGCTCATGGAGGTCAGTAGCCTGCTTTGCTGTGGAGAAATGTCAAGCATCCCCGGGCACCGCTCTAATTCTAATTCCATTACTAGTTTCTCCAGCTCCGATAATTCAGACTCCGTTCACATCCCGACGCTGCGTCGAGCGTTTGTGTTTCCTCTGTCTTCCTCCTCCTGCTGTATTCCAGAGGGCCATGTTACTTACACTCATCCTTGACATGTAGTGATGTCTTAACATGGGAGATGCATAACACAACACCCTGATTGCTCAGGAAGATAGCCTCGGATTTAGACAGCGAGAAGAAGCAGCCTCCTCTCTTGTCGAAGGTGTTGTATTTCCCTCTCTGATATTTACAGAGCGTGGGAGATTACTCCTGTGGTCAGCATGGCCCCAACTCTCCGTCAGCCTAACTCCCTGCTCCGCTGCCAGAGTCTCTCCCCTTTCCTTTCTTACGTTATATCTGATTCCACCTGTTTCTATCCCACCTTCCACCTCCATTCTACTGTCCAGCTCACTCCCTTGTCAGGAGGTCTTATGTGAAGCAGCAAATGAGGCAGCTTGACTTCCATCTCAGGCTCCCAGAGATCAATAAGTGTTGCTCACTATCAGCCACGACGCTCTTTGCCTCTCAGACGCTCTCACAGGGGAGAGTGAAGCAGCAAATGAAATTCCTCTTAACTCCTCTCGCATAAACATGACAAGCAAGCTCCCATAACTCAGCTTTTTACCACACATATTAAGTAGCAGCTTGAACAGGACATAATAACAAAATGCACTTATGAATGTGACACAAAGCCAAAGCTGTGTCTATGAGCTGGGAGCTGAAATAAAAACGGAGCCTACACACAGTGCAGATAATGATGTGAACAGTAGCTTTAAATCGCTGTGCAAGCAATCTAATTGCAAAAGGCCCCAAAAGCTTGGCATCTAAAACAACTACTTAAAGGCACAGCGCAAAAAGGCAGGCAAAAAAAAAAAACACAAAAAAAACTAAAAGGTTTGATGACATCTAAATGCAAAAAAAAATAAAAGGAAGCCATGAGGAGCCAACGCCACAGGACAAACAAGGCTGCCAGGGAGTTACCTGGACAGGTGGCCACGCAGGCACTTTTCTGGACGTTCTGCCCCTCACAGGATGTGCCTCCGTTCAGTGGGGTCGGATTGGTGCAGCTCCGGCTCCTCTTCTGCCAGCCACGCCCACACACGGCGCTGCAGGACGACCAGGTGGTCCACGTGGACCAGCCGCCGTTGACTGTCAGCACGGTTGCGAGAGGAAGGGAGGGGAGGGGGGGTATTGGGTAAGGAAGATGGGAAGGTTGGATGAAGGGAAGGGAGGGATGGATGAAGGGACAGAGCAGCCAGGTTTACCCGACATGCAGAAATGAAATCAGGTGCGCTACACTTGAAAAATCGTGACTGCCTTCGCACGGCTGGGTTCCGCGCAGAAAGGTGAACACATGGAGGAGCACGAGAGGGGGGGGGGGACTGCTGCCTGCATGTGTGCTCGAATTACAGCCAAATGCAGTGAAAACAAAATGACTCAACAGGAAGCAGAAAATAACCAGACGACCTGCCACATTTCACTGCATGTCTGAAGACCATTCAATACCTGAACATTTCATCAAATTTATCCTTCCCTATGCTTTCCATAAGCTTTTTAACGCTCATGTTCAAAGAAGAATAAAAACCATTTTCTGTTTGCAAAGAGTGACATATTAATGAAGTATTTCTTTAAACCAAAATGCCCCCTGAAAACTATTTTTATAGTCATTAGACTTATTTAGAAAATTAGTTATGTCACATTAACAAATGTCAATCCTTTTTCACAGTTAGAAGTGGAATAAGAGTCAGAAAGCTACTGAAACATAAAAAGCATCAGCAACCTCTTACACCTTGCTAGTGTTATATAATGCAGTGACTAGCTACTATAGAATAGGAAGCTTCATGCATGTCAGCTGAACTTGTCCAACATGCATTTCTTGGGAGAAATGATGCGAGTCAGATACGCACCACGCCGTGATAGACTCTGAATTTTGCCTTAAATCTTCCAGCCAGCTGGCCGTCCAGATTGTCTGTAATTGCTGCATCACACACTTGAGCAGAAACGCGGTTTTAACCTTTCACAAGTCAGCTGCTGCGAGGTTTCAACTACATCGCTTGACAAGTCGGAGGACATGACCGCCGCCGCAGGTTGGTGTTGATCAGTCAAATAAAACTCAAATGAAACCAAGTGTAAATTTGTGAATTTTATGTAAAGGGGAGTGAATACTTTAAATAATCACATTTTGTTTAAAAAGCTGCAGCTTTATTTCAACAAAGCTTTTCATGAACTTTAAACACCCAAACTTTATTACTGCAGCTCTTTATTGACCCCCTGCTGTTGTTTTAAACTTTAAGTGTCAATTACGATGCAACTGATGCTGTAGAGCACCTTTCAATCATGACAGGTGATTACATCAAATCATTCAGCTTTTTTTTTCTTCTATCCCCTATCATCTCCTGTGTTTCCTTCAGCCGATCAGCTACACAGATTCCTGATTTATTGACCTGAGCGGCATTGTCATTGCCTCTCTGTACATACTCCCTTCGTAATTTCCCCTTAGCTCTCTGCGCTTGTCGCTGCTGAATCATTTCCTTGCCCTCTCTATGCAATTGATTGCTCGCCACAGCGAGGTAAATTGCCAGGCAACTCGGCCTCTGATTACCTCTTAGCACAGAGTGCAGTCACACCAGCCGGGTCTTGTTAAAATGCATCCCTCCTGTTGAGCTGCCTTAGAAAAGTAGAAGTTATTATCAGTTGCTACCGCTAGGTAGATTAAATAAAAAGGTGGACAGAGATGTTGCAAGGAAACCGGTCTACTTCAAGGTAAAGCTAGAAGAACGCCAGAACCAAGGAAAAAGAAACAATTTCCTCCCATTTATCCTTGACTAATATGAGTCATTTTATCAAGTAGCCTACGCATTAAAACGAGAGGGACGTTTCTAAAATGGCCTCCTGCATCATTCGTACGTAATTCATTGGACCACTGAATGAAAACAACCGCTTTAGGCCACTAAGAACAATGGGAGGTTTAACGCTCTCGCCTCCCCAGTAAATACAGCACTATATTCCCTTTAACAACAATCTGATCAGTTACAATCAACACAAGATATATTTTGCACCCCTGTTATGTTTTTTTATGCCTGTGGTTTAACCATGTGCAAACAATCAACACTTTTCTTTTGAAACCATTCCGATTGTAAATTAATTCTTCACTTCAGAACCACTTTTACTGTCTTTAAAAAGTATTTCTATAACTTTTAGAGTTTTTTTCATCCACTAAAAGAGGAAACCCTTGATGTCAGTGATACATCTGCCCAAAAAGGTTTTAAGTTGGAAATAATGTGAAAGAACTGAATGAGACTTAAGCCCCATTTACAGTAGCCTCTTAAACCGATCCATGCTGATTGGATCCCTTAACTACAGTGGCCCTGAAGTGCAAACTGCAACTACAAATCTAAAAGCGCAACTACATTAAGGAAATCGCAACTACATAAAGCAAAGCGCAACTACATTAAGAAAAACAAAACTACATAAAGCAAAGCGGAACTACATTAAGGAAAACACAATTACATTAACCTACCGGAAAAGGTAGGTACCACTGGGAAACATGAGACATCGCTGATTGGACGACGGCGCCGTTTGACCCTTGAACCGGAAGTCATTCTACCTGCTGCGGCTTTTGAAAACATGGATACTGTTGGCGCCCCAAACATAGCTGCCGTTATCCAGGAATATTTTGAATCAGGACATACGTACGAGGTGATACTGGATATGCTCAAGACTAATCACGAAATTTCAGTTAGTATCCATGTTTTCAAAAGCTGCAGCAGGCAGAATGACTTCCGGTTCAAGGGTCAAACGGCCTTTATGTAGTTTTGTTTTTCTTAATGTAGTTGCGCTTTGCTTTATGTAGTTGCAATTTCCTTAATGTAGTTGCACTTTTAGATTTGTAGTTGCAGTTTGCACTTCAGGGCCACCGTAGTTAACCGTGCGGAGCTTGGTTCCTTATGACCGTTTACACATCACGCTAGCACGGTTCCTCGCCTCCTAGTGGCGATCCAAGGTACTAATGCCCTCTAGAGGTAAACAAGCAAACCAACATGGAGGCGCACGTAAAATTCTGGAAGTTTGGTTATAATTGTGATTTTTCGTTGTTTGCGGAGAATTAAGCAAAGAATGCAGCCTTTGGTGAATTTACTTGACAGTCGGCTTTTGGGAAGTGGATACGAGAAACGATAGTCCAATCAGTGCTTATAGATGCAGGAAACAACGACGGACGTTGAGGCTCATCATGCTGCTAAGCAGAATCATCACGGGAAATCTTGTGGCACAGTAGGGAAGCTAGTATTTCAATGAATGTCTGAAATTTCAGGATTATGGTGGCCCATTGTGAGGAGATGACACCATCTGCTCATGCGCTCTTTGTTATCTGAGAAACGAGCCTGAACTGAACTGCGCCGAACTAGTACCATGTTAGCATGGTTTGGTTGTGTCTGGCACGGTCCGGTTCAGTTGTGCGTGCCATTTACATTCAACAGTTATCTCGGTTACCGTGCTCGAACCAATCCCGACACGGTTTCAAAAGCGTAGTGTGAATGGGGCTCTAACCTCCACAGGACATTGTGATCACAGTAGGGTTGTGGGAAAAAAATGTATACTCTGAAAAGTAGCAATACTTAAAGCTGTATCTGGATACAATACTAATTCAACATGGTTTTGATACTTTCTGGAATACTATTGCTTGTATATACCTGCTACTGTGAATTATTGAAATCTGATTTACAAATGAAAATATATATATATAGTCAGGTTTCTCATGTTAATGAAAATGTTTTTTATGCTTTTAATTATTTTCATTCTTTATCTCCATGGTATTGACTATTGAATATTTTCCTGGGGATTGACATCGAATTTGAAATTCAATCACAGCGATTGTTAACGATTGCTACGAAACAGTAATTGGTTGGATATCATATTTAAAGAACAATAGATTAACACTCTGCTGGTCAGGGGGTTGATTTACACCATATGAATATTTTAAGTGGTGAAGGACGAAATATGGGGGTGAGTTCAACTCGACATATATATATAAATTTAGAGACAACTCTATTTTCTTATTAATTCTTTTTATGTTTTGGGGGGCATTACTTAAAAAATTTCCAACAAAAATAACATTTCGAAATGTAATTTATTCACAGAGGCTTGTTTTACCAAAATACAGCAAATAAGATCTACTGAGATTTTACCATAGAGCTACAATGACAGGAATCTACAACCTCCTTAAATTAAACTGCAACTTTATTGAACATTATGATCTTAATAAAATGGAACACATCCTACTATTTGTTTAATTATTGTTGTTCCAATCAAAGGTGAAGAAATTCTATTATTATATTAGTTATTATGCAGAATTCTGTATCATTAAAAGGTCTAAAGTGCAGCAAGTTCTGCTGATTTCTCTGCAGAAATCCATTTCTCTGGTGTTGTGTTTCCACTTGCCCATGGCAGCCCATATGTGTGAACGATAAAAACACAGCTCACCTCAAATTGCTGTCACCTGTTTTTGTGTTGACATATTTGCTTCAAACACACACATACGCACACATCCACAGTATATCTGCAGAATGTGGACTTTTTTTCCACATAGAAATCTGCCAAAGCAACACCTTCAGGGAGGTGAGGATGTGTTTATTTGTCCTTCAGAATTGTAACTCCAGAGAACTCGTTGGCAAAGTGTGTCTCGTGCTCCACCTGTGCTGTCTTTTAATTCTTCAAACATAAGGTTTACTCAAGCGTCTTTTAAACTAAATTTAAATCACTTAAAATTTCATATATGGTGTGAATTAACATTCAACATTTAATAAATGTTGTTTTAGAGCAGGACAAATCATAATAGATATACATCCAAATATATTTATATATAAATAATATTAAGAAAAAACTGTTGCTGTAAAAAGATATTGGATCCTATTTCATTTTTTGGGATACTATTTAATATGACATAATAAACATAATCTTTACAAGGTAGCAAACTGTCCAGATTTAACTGTTTAAATGTGCAAACCAGGCTCATCATTTGATAATAAAGAATACTGCCAAAATGGAAAAGCTGTGGGTTGAAAAGCCATACACCGTCTGTGCTTCCATTACTTTTAATAGGTAGAGCAGAAACTACACATCAGCAAAGCCCTTAGAGAGACAACTGTTGATGCATATCAATCTGCGAATCTATAAATGCATTTTTAAATGATTTGAAGTCCATCCATCTGCATAGAAAGGGATATTTCATGAGTTACAACAGGTTCAACATTTTGCCACTGCTGCAAAGACATTTAAAATTGTTAATTTCTCCAGAATCGAAGGAAAACAACTAACAAAGTAAAAAAAAACAACAAACAAACAAAAAACTGATTACTTTAATGGTACATACTTGACATTTTTCAATTTTATACACCACTAACTCGTTCTGGTTGCATACGTTTTTAATGAGTAACTATAAGATCGTGAGTGGCGTAGTATCTGTTTTTTTTTTTTTTTCTGGGGCGACAGTGGCGCTGGCTGTAGGAGTTAGCCCTGAAATCGAAGGATTGACGGTTCAAGCCCCGGCTCCGACTTTCAGTGTCGTTGTGTCCTTGGGCACTTCACCTGCATTGTCTACTGATGGTCTGGCAATGAGCCCCAGGGCAGCTGTGGCTACAATGTAGCTTGCCACCGTGAGTGTGTGTGTGAATGGGTGAATAACGGAATGTAATGTAAACCGCTTTGGTCAAGTCTCCTGACTTGAAAAAGTGCTATGTAAGTACAGACCATTTACCATTTTTTGTCTTTTAAGCTCTGTTTTTGCTCAGTTTGTTGGTAAATATAGGTAAATATAGCCTTCCTGTGTATATTTACCATGACGACATCCTGTTAGCAGGATTACCTTACTGCACATACGTACAAATGGTCAACAAGTTGAAGCAACGGAGGTGAAGAAGTGTAGAACTCCCAGTGTAGTTAAGATTAAAAAAGTCCAAGACTAAGTGTAAAAAGGCAGAAGATTTTTGATTCCAAGAGGGATAAATAATGGCTAATGGGGCTACTGGTGTTAGCAACGCTTATCCTTCGATTTGTCGGTTTTCTTGGAGTCATCACAGCATGGCTGGGACTTTATTTAGTAGCTGCATTAATCTGGCTTGCTGGTAGTTCAGTGGTACTGCCTGTAGATGGCGCCACATCTTTTAATGTCAGCTCATATCACCCGGTGCTGAGGTTCTATTTAGGCTCAAAAGAGACGCTATCAGTAAGGAAGCTTATAGCCTGATGTTATCATAACCAACTGCATTTTGGTCTTTTAGATTAGGCATAACATTTCACTGGCCATGAACTTTCACACTTTTCCACACACAGCTTTTCCATGAACCTGTTAGGTGTTCTTCTTTTTTCAAACAGTCTTAAACACTAAACAAAAAAGAGGGAATTTTGAGTAGCTGTCAGTTTTTAGCTGAGTTCTCTCAGCTAACCAGCCCCCACCACTTTATGCGTTTTTGGGAAATCAGAACAAGAACAACCTATGTGTTTCTAAATATTCCTTTTTCATTCATAAAGCAGTTTTGTGAGTAACTCCCATGAGGTATCATTGTCCCATTTGTACCCAGCAGAGAATAAATATGGCCTGTAATGTATGGATGCTTCTATTGTGTGCTTAGCTTGGAACCCTCTGTGATAACAAATATGGGGTTTCTCTGCATTTTAATAAAGGTCACTGGGCTTATCAGGCAGAGTCATTATTTACATTTGCTGTTAATTCAGTTTCTTTTCTTTTAGTGGATTCAGGACAGAGAAGGAGGGAAGATGGCAGCCCTGACGTCCAACATTGCCAGCTTTTGCAGGACTGGCTGCCAGAAGCATTTAAGTTGGTCTAATTAACGTCCGGATGTAGTAGAGTAATTTATTGCTCTTTAAAAAATATAGAGGTGACAGGCCAAGCTGCAACCATAGGTCACTCTTTTATAGTACTCTGGTTTGTATTTAATGCAAAACAAAATAAATAATATAAGTATCCATACCCTTTGAACTTTGTCACTGTTTGTCAAGTTACAGCCAGAAATCCAAACCTCTCTGTTCTATCCATGACTTTATAGATAATCGAGCCTTCAATTTACAGAGATATGGCCTCCTACCTAAACTGACAGGCCACATTAACTTGGAAGAGATCATGACGAGGAGTCACGCAGCAAAAACTGATCTAAAATAAGCTAAAAAACTTAAAATAGTAATTCCTTGTCCTTAACTTGCAGAGGTAAATCAGATATTTTTTCCAATGGAATGAGTATTTTTGCCTTTAAAATAAAATAATTGGATATTATGTTCTTGAAATAAGAACATGGATTTTTTTTTTCCTTATTTTAAACATTAATCATTTTATTCCATTGGCAAATAGTCTCACTTAGCTGTTTAAACCAAGGTAAAAAACTAAAAGTTTCTTTCAAGAAATATGTACTCTCTTAGATTTACTTCCAACTTCTGCAGGGAATAACTCTGTAGGAACTGCAGAAATATGAACTCAAACTTGTATATAAACCTCCTGGACTGATACAACTCTTGCAGAAATATGAGAGTGAAATAGTTGCAATAGACTTTAAACTTTTAGCAAGATTTTTGTTCCTCAAGGACAGAGAAGCTATACAAACAGAGTTACAATCTAAACATGATTATTAGCGTTAGAGTGGATAGTCAAAGTGTAGAATTAGATCTTAAGAAAATATGTAGAAAGAGAATAAAAAATATGCAAATGGAGCTAAATGCTGAGTTGTCTGATTAATCTTCAGTTAATAATTTAGGGGAATTCAGATTTCCATACCTGGAAAGCTGGTAGAAACAGATTTTAAATCACTTGCAGATGCACCTGGTGGTTTATAAAGTATAACATACACTGCAAAAATGTAAATCTAAAGTCATTTTTTCTTAAAACAGATGGAGTTTGTCTTGATTTGAGGAGGTAAGTGAGACACTTTGCCAATGGAGAAAGTTTACTTTAGAAAAAGGAAAAAAGCAATCACTTTTTCTTATTTCAAGTGCATACTATCAATTTTTTTATTTTGACAGTAAAAATGCTCATATCATTGGCAAATCATCTTATTTTCCAACTCAAATTAAAGGTAAATACACTTAATTTAAGATTTTTTTTTTACTTATTTCTAGACTTTCTTTGCAGTGTATATAAAGGTGGTTGAATATAAGTCTTTCAGCAATTGTGCTACTTTGTGTTGCTCTATCAAATAAGATATTGAAAAAATACAAAGAAGTTTGAGGTCATAACACAACAACATGACAAAAAGTTCAAGGGATAAGAATATTTTGTGAGCACTGTAACTTTATGATTGACAGAAAACCTGCAACTAGGTATGTTTCATCCATGGGAGGACAAAGAGGTTAATGTGGAAATGTAATACAATGGAATACAAGAAGAAAGTAAACAAATAATTCCTGTTTTTGTTTTGTTTTTTGGTTTGCATAAATTAAAGCAAATCTGCCCCAGACTGCTGTCTTAACATCTGCTAGAAGAAGTTATCATCCCCTACCATAGACGAGGACTGTGGCGGAGTTGCTTTTGCGTCGAGCGACGATGTTTTTGGCCAGGCACGTGTAGTTGCCAGTGTCCACGAGGCGGGCTTTCTTGATGATAAGATTGTGGTCAGGAGTGATGAAAAAATTGGGGTCGTTCACTGGGTCGAGCACGTCCTCGTTCCTCTGCCACTCCACCTGGAAAACACATTTCCTCAGTTAAAACCCACCACAGGTTGATACATGCAAAACAAGGGGAATTTAAGGTTTTAAAGTGGTTTGGTGCTCTGAACCAACTTTCCGTTGATTTGAAAATATATTACTTTTTCACTGTGAAGAGAGCTGCTTTTATTTTGCTGCTGCTGGTGGTCTGTGAGCAAAGCCAATCATGCTCTGTAGTGCCTCCGCTTCTCTTTGCAGAAGCCAAAATTGAAGTTATTCCTGTCCTGGTGTATTCACGGACCGGCTCGCTTGTTTTGCTGCTCTCACTTGACCCCTTGCCGTCTCCAGAGAAGCGATGGTGTGGCAGCATTGTTGCTGGTATTACTGCCAGTTGCGATACGGCGTATAATTGGGCTTTCTTCCTTTTGCGAGCGCTATCTCTGTTTTTCTCCCGCGGTGACTTCTGCTCTGATGTTCTTTTCTGTTGAACCGCGGTTGGCACCTTCCTTCCCATTTCTCTCCAAACGGTCCCTGCTCTGTCGAGCTGTGATTGGCTTGTCTGCCGTCTCTCGTCTCTGGGCTGTCTGAGCTACCAGCCTAAGCTCCTGTTGTGTAGTTATTAGAGCAGTTAGTGCCTATCTGGGACCGGGGAGGATGCGGCACATGAGGTGAAACAGCTGGCACCACTCTGGCCCTCTAAACACACACCGGCAGAATATGAGAGGAGAGAGAAAGCGATGCAAGCAGAACAAGAGAGGAGAGAGACAGAACGCGATAAGGAGAGAGCGAGACAAATAGAGCCATTCATTATGGACAGGGCCTTTAGAGATGCCAAATGGGGAGTGAAGCCTCGGAGCCTGAGCTGAGTGATGTGACGAGAAAATGTGATATATCGCTTCTCAGAGATGTAAAAGAGATCATAAATCAATAACAGGGAATAATTAGAGGTGTAATTTATCCATATATGGATGGTTTTTCACTGTGGAAAGCATAGAGATGCAGCAGAGTCACTTTTTTCCCCCGCCCCCACTGCCCCTCTTGGAGAGGAAAGAGTAAAATGATGCTAGATGTGAGCCTATAAATATCATGTGTATCTGTGTCTCACCTCAGCTTGTGGCACTCCCTCGGGGGGATGGCAGCGCAGTAACACCTCCTGGTCCAATGCAACCTCTTTACTCTGTGGCTCCTCCTCAAAGTTCTTTCTCAGGTCTTACACAAAGAAAGACAGGGAGGGAAAAAAAAATGCCCAGGAAACATAACCAATTAGGATGTTTGTTAAACTTCACAACATATGAAAGAATCCGTTAGAAATAACACACAAACTGGGTTTGGTGATGTTTTTTTTTTTTTGCAATTCCAACCCTTGAAATGTTCAACCGTGGCCTCGTGTCGCACTCCAGTTGGCCTCTAAGCCACAGTGGAATCAGTGGCACCAGCCTTGTTGCTTATTACAGGCCGCCTGGCTGGTTCAGAGATGTTTGTCTGCTGCCAGAGGGACCTGTGCTGGGAAAAGCAATTGCATTACCCCTTCCTCCCACCCAGCCTTCCTCCCTCCGGCCTCCATCTGTGTGACGGCTTGGAGCAGCCGCACGAAAAACAATGCCCCGAGGCGCCTGGACAAGAGCTCCTGCAAAGCCCGCCTGGCTGCGTGGGGGCTTCACTTTATGTCTCATTGAGCAATCTTGTGGTTGCATCAAGCCCTGCAATATATTTGTCTGTAAACCCCAGCTGTGAATTACACAGGTAGAAGTGGCCTGGCTTTTCTTCTTGCAAAAGACAGGGAATAAACGCAGGCCTATTTGGAGCGGATGAGACAAGCAGGCGGCCGATAGCTGGCGGCTTGGTGCAAATTTGATGTGTTCACCCCATGTTTTTACTCAGAGCAGAGCAATGTGTTATCGTGTTGCAGGGGGGCTGAGGGTGGATTCCTTTAAAGGAGATGTTGAGCCTGTCCTGACCAATCGCACTGGGGGAAACGTTGAGACAAGCGGAGAGTTTCATGACATTTAATTTAATTAAAGCAGATAAAATGGGACTGGAGGACATTTGAGATGTAACAGTTCTCGAAAGCTCTAAAGTGTGTGAGTGTAAGTGGGTGGGGATAAATATTAGAAATGTCTCCTGATCCATAGCTATTCAGGCGTGTGTGTCCTATCTTACATCTCTCCGAAAAGGGTAGATAATGAATGTGTGTTTTCAAAAAAGCCTTGTGGTTTGGTGCCTGCGCTGCATTTCCTTGTGTCTGGAATAATACATATTTATGTGGGAATTAATAGGCAGAATGCTGTAAAATGCTCAAATGTAAAATGGCTCCTTCTAATAAAGCTTTTGAGGCGGCGGTGAGGGATGCGTCTGCGTTCCCCAGGCAGATTTATGATTGCTGCACAGCAATAAATTTCAATTCTGTTTTTATTCAAGTTACTTTCATAGGGATCATTGCTGATATACTGTAGCTTGTGAGAAATATGCTCATGAATACTTAAATTTAGTGTTCCACTCCCCCCCGCCTTTCTGCCTTTCTAAGCTCTATCGCATTGTTTTGAATTGTTCATTCAATAAACCGAATCAAAGGAAAAAATATTTACGGTACCTCATAACCGTACCCCTACTACTGGAATCCTATTGGATTATAAGGATTGTATTATCTGCTTTCAAATGGTTTTCATCATACATTTCAAACTGAAATTATAGTTTTCTATCAATGATATGTCAGAAACTATCACGTTGTCTTGTGGCGTACCCCAGGGCTCTGTTTTAGGATATATTCTATTCTGTTTATCCTATTTAACAGTTGAGACGCATACAGCTCTACTGTTCTTTTAATTAAAGAGAGTTTCATAAATCAAAGTCCTTTCACTTGTCTTATATTTAACACTAAATAAATGCCAACTAATTCTAGCTTAACTCAAATAAGAATGAACCCTTGATGATGCCCCCTGAAAATAAGATTTAACAAATTACACAATTTCTCTTTGTTTAATATAAACTCAGAATTCTGTCAAAAGTGCAAAGAATTACTGATGCGAGGATTTTTATTTAAAACAAATGCATGTAATCTAGTATTTTGAAAGTTTTATGCTTAAAGATTCAATATCAGACGGCACCCAATACAGAATATCAAAATCATGGCTGTACGCTTCCCTGCGCTCCTCTTGCTTTTTGTGTGCTTGTAAATTCTCACTTTAAAGGTGGAACCAAACTGATAAACTGCTTGTGTTTGGCTACTTTTCAGGAAATTCTGCATCCACTGTTTTCCTCCTAGTTGCGGCTAGCATCTTCAGGCTAGCTGTTCTCTTTGAGTCTGACTTTGTATCTGACCATCTCTGTCATCCACTGAGAATTTTATAAAAACTATGCTGGAATAAAAGAAAAAAATGCAAACTGATAAGAAATGCAAATGTCTGTGTTTAGTAGGGTTCCCAACTCCCTGAAAATAAAAAGGGGACCGCTTACGTGCGTGCCAGCTGACCGATTGCCTTTACCCCTTCTGGCGTGGTAATTTTTTTTTTTATACCCCCCCTTTGTGTGGGAAATTATTATTTTTTTAACTATTTACTCAAATCTGCATCGAATTAGATGCATACCTGTGAGTGACATGAGATTATGAAAAACAAATTATTATCAAGCAATTCACTTTAACACAAAATAAACTTTGCTGAAAAAAATAAGTATCTTAAACATAAGCCTGTCCTGCTTAACTTCAAACTGTAAAAAAATTTGATAAAACAATAAATAAATAGTGCACATTTTTGGTGCAACAGCAAACTTGTGCAAACTTGTACACATATTTGTCGAAGGTGCACCGCTCCCAAAAGCAGCGTCGGCATTTAAATTATACGGTATTTTGGATCGTCAGCTCATTGGTCACAACGCAGAACAGGGTACCGGGAACAAGTTTACCGTAAGTTTTGTATCTAACGTGCCCTTTATTTTCCATTAGCTTTTTACTGACTATTTTTTAACTCTCACAGTAATACGGAAAAAAGTGCGTTCCTTTTCCACTAAATACAGGACAGGTACTTTTATTTTTAAATACGGAGCAATTCCGTTTTTCAAGGCATGGTTGGCAACCCTATTGTTTAGCCATAAACAAGAGTTAATTCCTGCCCCAAACAGTGAAACTAAAGTTAGCTTAGCTCATAAAAAGTTCCTAATTTAATATTAATTATTTCAGAGCATATTGCTACTGCTGTGAGAACGCATTTATGACTGTATTAAACAAAGGTATTTAATGATGACTTCAATTAAAGACTTTATAACTTTGTTAGGGGAACACTGGTTAGGCTAAAGATGCTTTGCTGATATTACTCGCCAACTAGGAAGCAAACCTTAGAGGAGGAGTTTCCTTAAAAGTAGCCAATCACAGACGGTTTATTTTCTCAGGTTGGTTCCTCCCTCAAAGGGACAAAAGTTGACATGATAACAGAACCAGGTCCATAGCTGAGTGGGAGAGAAGAAAGAAAGAAGGCACACTAAAGTAGTATGACCTCATGATTTTCACACACTGAGGGCCTTATCCTGCCTGCATAAAACATTTATAATGTGCATGGAGACTAGTTTAGGAGCATGTGTTTAAAATAAAACTACAACTGAATATTCATCATGCTTGTGGACTTTTGGCAGAATACTGACTTCATAATTTACTCTTTTCAGTCCAGCCTTATAGACCTGGATGTCATTTTTTAATCTGAAATATCTGTAGAGCAATAAAGCAATCAAGCAGAAAATGTTATTTCCTTCTAGGAATATTTAAAAACTGGGAAGTTTCTGGTTAAAAATCTCACGTTGGCAATATCAATTCATGGTTTTATTTAATCTCCTTTGAGCTACTGTAACATTTTATTTCTATCTTCAAACAAGAAGGAACTTCTTCAGATTATTCAAAACTCGGCTGCTCGGTTGTTAACCCACATGAATACAAGAGCAGTAGAGCTTCCCTTCACTGGCTCCCAGGTTACTTTAAAATTCACTTTAAAATTCTGATTTGAACTTTAAGAGCTTTGCAGAGATAAGCCCCCCTTACATTTCAGATCTGATCCAGCTTCACAGAACATCCCTCCAGTTAAGGTCATTGGGTCAGATTTTTTTGGCCGTACGCCGTACAAATTTTAAACAACATAGGATTTGGTCGTTCCAAGTAGTTGGCCCATTTTTACATACGCTATTTTCTAATTTTATGGTCTGCCTCAGACCTTCTATTGTGTTTGTGTTTATATATACACATGTATGTGTTATCTGCAACAATTTTTGATGCAAAGTCTGTAAAAGATACCATATAGATACATTTTAACAACCAAGTTACCTCACCGCTTTCTATTACAGCACATGTGTAAAACTACAGGCTGACTATGGTCCATCATGACACTTTTTCCATCACTAAAGAACAAGAATAAAGGCCTATCAAGACATGAAATAGTGATACATTTATTCTAAAGAGCTCAGAGTGGCTGAAATTGCTTTTTTTTATATAATAAAAAAAAAAAAACCTGAAAGAAGCAACCTGTAAAATAAATGGGGGTAAGTTTATAACACCAGAGCAGCGTGTTTTTTGTAAATGGATGAAATCGAAAGTTGAATTTCTTTAGCTGCATCTGGCCCTTTTAGAGACTTGATGATGCTGAAGTGACCTGATATAAAAATGAGTTTGAATATCTGGTTTTAGACCTATCCCAATACAACTTTATAGATAAATAGCCAAAAGCTACACAACATTTATTAGCAAAGAGTGTTTATTTTTGATTCTTTACTTCTTCACTGTCATATAAAATTAATTTGCATGGTATAGCCTACTGTTATTTTGTTACATGGACATAATGGAAGATAGTCTTCCAGTTTTTTTTTTGTTTAACTTAACTACCATTAAATTTGATCAGAAATCATATATAATTTTTGCTAAATTGCTTGAAAAAACTTTTTTTATTTTTTACTTTTATCGACATTTTTTGCAAGTTAAAGCCTGGTAATGTGTATAGAAATCCAATTAATATATATTTATATATATATATATATATATATATATATATATATATATATATATATATATATATATATACATATATATATTTTTTTTTTCCTCTCACCTTAGTTTCGTAATATAAATGACAAATGCTATATTGTTTTCAAAACCTACCTTTGATTTCAATCATTCCCTCTGGGAGGTGACCTTAATTAAAAGGGCAATGAAATTCAAGCTGTGAAGCAGGCGTGTAAAATAATCATGTTTCACAACAAGTATCGAAAATATAAAACACTAAATATTTACAGCTAGTGGTATCACACAGTGAGCTAGTTTATCAGTTATGGGTGCACATCTATGAGCAAAACGGGATGAAATGATGTTACTCCGAGCTCTGGCAGCCAGACTAATGGATAGGTGGGGGAAAGAAAAAATCCTGATTTTGCAAAAATTAAATCTTCATAAACAAAAAAAATTTATCAATCAATACAGTACAATCGACTAATGAACCAGCCCTAATATGAAATTCTAAAACATCTAATTTGCTTTATACTAAACATTATGATCACATCAGCATCAATATATTATTTGGTGTAGATTAGTATACATTGTTTTCAGATTGCTAATTAATTAATATCTGACATTCTATGTTTGATAATTGAACTTTACTAAATTTACCAAGACGTTAGATCATAAAACGTACATTACTTTGCCTTTAACTAGTTGCTTTTATTGATATTTAGATTTTTTTTTTTATATCAGCGGTGCTGCTGCTATCAACACCTTTGTTTATAGATGTTGGGGATCGGCCTGTTTTCCAGTGTAGTCCTGTTTCTCTGACCGTGACTGGCTGAGCCTGGTTCTGCTGGAGGTTTCTTCCTGTTAAAAAGGAGTTTTTCCTCTCCACTGTCGCTACAAGCATGTTTAGTGTGAGGGATTGCCTTCGAGTCAATGAGTCGATGCAATTAACTAGTTTTCCTTAGATAGAAAACTTTGAATCAATCTGACTGGATGATCTGGTAAACTGTAAAATGCCTTGAGATTATATGTGTTGTGAATTGGCGCTATATAAATAAACAGAATTGAATAGTAAGAGCATTACTAGATCAGTAACTAGTAACTAATAAAAAATGTGGAAGAAAGCGCTTTGAGACCAAAACGTATGTATTTAAGATGGATTGTACACTTGGTAGGCGTCATCCTAAACATGCCAACCCCACTGTAAAACACAGTGGTAGTGATTCCATGTCATGTTCTATATGGGGATGCTGGTTAGAATCGATGAAAACACAGATGGAATAAACACAGAGCAACCCTGATGGTAAGAGACTGCGAAAATATTAAGACATTTTGTAGCAACGCAGCAACCCTGGACATACAGGCAGAGCTGGAGGGGAATATTATAGATGAAAGAATATGCATCCCTAAGGAGGGATCTGTCAAAATCCAGATCTTAATCCACTGTGTCTATATTTCTGTAGACATTCTCTGTAGATGGTTTTGTGCCATATAGATACACTGAACTGAGCAGAGTAGATTTTATCCATATTTGCAGTATTATCTCATACCCAATAGAATATGTCGGTATTTCTGGCTGAAATATTGGAAAAGACAGAAAAAAAGTGGATATTAACACTCTTCCAGGGCTTAATTCTAAGAGTATTATGCGAGGGATCACAATGATTTCTTGACTAATTGTTAGATAAGTTAGTCACTCTCATTCCCAGTTCTTCCCATAAACTCTTTATTACACCAAAGCATGCAAATGTGAGCACCTTGTTAAGAAACCCATGCATTTCTAATGACGGTGAGATCTTTTTAAGTGCACTCACAAGCAATCCTGATGTACGCCTTCTGGCTCTTCTGAGTTCCAGTGGTGCTCCAGGCGACGCACTGACACCAGTACTCATTGAGGCCAAAGACTTTCTCCACCTGCTGCCTGGTAACTTCAATCGTCACCTGCATGACCGGCAGTGCTGCAAAACAGGTACAGAAATAACAGCATGGTGAGCATTTCCTCCACATCAAGCTTGACTGCAGCAAAAAAAATTTAACGACTGCATTTTCTACCTTGAGTAATTAGAAGAAAGAAAAAAAAGAAAACGGCAGGCAGAGATAAATGAGGAGGCAACCATAATCCTATATAAACAGAGGGCTTGTTAACTGAGGAGAATGAAAAGAGCCTCACAGCGATCCCGGTTTAATTTGTATGCCGTTAAAATGGCAACAGTTGGGAAGGAACGGCAGAGCTTTAAACAAAAACTGCAAACAAAAATACCCCGCGTACCATGCTTCACTATTATCAAATCCAGAACTGGGAGGAAGAGTTCAATTTATGAAGCATTCCTACCACAGAGTAGATATAAAAGATTTGGCTGCAACACAAGGTTAAAAATAGCTTTATTGCTTTTCTGCCAGACTGGACTGACAAGCCTTCTCTAAATAGAGCAAAATTGGGACAAAATCCACCAGCCCAACCTGTCAAAACACTATAACATTGTCACAGGCTTATCTACGTTGAGAAATCTTTCATTTCATTTTCTTTCGCTGTTATATTTGTTATATGTATATATATATATATATATATATATACATATATACATATATATATACATATACATATATACATATATATATACATATATATATATATATATATATATATACATATATATACATATATATACATATATATATACATATATATATATATATACATATATACGCATATATACATATATATATATATGCATACATATATATATATACATATATACGCATATATACATATACATATATATATATATACATATATATATATATATATACATATATATATATATATATACATATATATACATATATACATATATATATATATATATACATATATATACATATATATACATATATACATATATATATATATATATATACATATATATACATATATATATATATATATATATATATATACATATACACTATATTGCCAAAAGTATTTGCTCACCTGCCTTGACTCACATATGAGCTTAAGTGACATCCCGTTCCTAATCCATAGGGTTCAATATGACGTCGGTCCACCCTTTGCAGCTAGAACAGCTTCAACTCTTCTGGGAAGGCTGTCCACAAGGTTTAGGAGTGTGTTTATGGGAATTTTTGACCATTCTTCCAGAAGCGCATTTGTGAGGTCGCACACTGATGTTGGACGAGAAGGCCTGGCTCTCAGTCTCCGCTCTAATTCATCCCAAAGGTGTTCTATCGGGTTGAGGTCAGGACTCTGTGCAGGCCAGTCAAGTTCATCCACACCAGACTCTGTCATCCATGTCTTTATGGACCTTGCTTTGTGCACTGGTGCACAGTCATGTTGGAAGAGGAAGGGGCCAGCTCCAAACTGTTCCCACAAAGTTGGGAGCATGGAATTGTCCAAAATGTCTTGGTATGCTGAAGCATTCAGAGTTCCTTTCACTGGAACTAAGGGGCCAAGCCCAGCTCCTGAAAAACAACCCCACACCATAATCCCCCCTCCACCAAACTTTACACTTGGCACAATGCAGTCAGACAAGTACCGTTCTCCTGGCAACCGCCAAACCCAGACCCGTCCATCAGATTGCCAGATGGAGAAGCGCGATTCGTCACTCCAGAGAACGCGTCTCCACTGCTCTAGAGTCCAGTGGCGGCGTGCTTTACACCACCGCATCCGACGCTTTGCATTGCACTTGGTGATGTGTGGCTTGGATGCAGCTGCTCGACCATGGAAACCCATTCCATGAAGCTCTCTGCGCACTGTTCTTGAGCTAATCTGAAGGCCACATGAAGTTTGGAGGTCTGTAGTGATTGACTCTGCAGAAAGTTGGCGACCTCTTCGCACTATGCGCGTCAGCATCCGCTGACCCCGCTCCGTCAGTTTACGGGGCCTACCACTTCGTGGCTGAGTTGCTGTCGTTCCCAAACACTTCCATTTTCTTATAATACAGCTGACAGTTGACTGTGGAATATTTAGGAGCGAGGAAATTTCACGACTGGATTTGTTGCACAGGTGGCATCCTATCACAGTTCCACGCTGGAATTCACTGAGCTCCTGAGAGCGACCCATTCTTTCACAAATGTTTGTAAAAACAGTCTGCATGCCTAGGTGCTTGAATTTATACACCTGTGGCCATGGAAGTGATTGGAACACCTGATTCCAATAATTTGGATGGGTGAGCAAATACTTTTGGCAATATAGTGTATATATATATATACATATATATATATATACATATATATACATATATACATATATATATATATATATATACATATATATACATATATATATATATATATATACATATATATACATATATATATATATATATATATATATATACATATATATATATATATATATATATATATACATATATATACATATATATATATATATATATAAATAAATATATATACATATACACATATATATATATATATACATATATATATATATATATATATATATATATATATATAAATATATATATATATAAATATATATATAAATATATATATATATAAATATATATATATATATATATATATATATATATATATAAATATATATATATATATATATAAATATATATATATATATACATATATATATATATATATATATATATATATTGTAGATAGTGCGATTTTTTTCCAGAGCTTCCAGCTCAGAGGTTTGACTGAAAGTGTTTCACAGACTGATCGAAGGAGAAAGACTCTGACCAGTTGCATTCAGATTCATTGAGGGAACCCTCTTTGTCGGCCATTTGCATAAAAGCACTTTGAGACTCTCTTCCACGTCGCTCACACTCCTCATGTGTCTGAACTGATCGTTTGCTGCACTGGTCTGACGATGGCGGACATGGCAGCTGCCGCAACAGCAAACATATACAGCAATTATGTCCGGCCTTTTTTGACATTTGCAAGACAACAAAATGCATATATGATAAAATGCATGGATGCTGCTTTATCCTGACTGCTCCAGCTCCCATGGTGACTTGAGGGGCGTCTCTACTGCCGGCAGCCGCACTCAGTGATGAGTAGCTGTGAGGGTCACTGGCAGACTGCCATGTATTAGTATCTAAGTGCAGCAGATTTTTCCAGATGTGATCACAGTAAATGTGACTGCATGTGCTGTGAATCTAGCCCTAAAGCACAAGCAGAGTGTTAACAACAATATATCTGCAGGATTTCACCAATATCTTTAACAAACAGAATAACGCGTTATCTCTGCATGCCTATGTTGCTTTTTAAAATGCTGCCAATTAGTGTCCAAAGAGGAAATTGATTTAAAATCAAAAATGCCTTATTTAGAGCCTGAATTTTGTCCTGCTCTTTGTCTTTTTGAGGTCAAGCTTTTTGGTTGAGTGTGTTTATGTGCTGACATAAGTCTGCAGCCAGAGTGTTTGACACAGGCTGAGAGAGCACCTAAAAGCTTAAACAAATGGCTCAAGTAACAAAATGGGCACTACAGCGAATGAACAAATGGAGCAGAAGAAACACAACTTTTTACTGCAAATCAGCAATACACCAGCAGCTTTCCCTTTTTAAGGTGCATAGTCACATTATTGGACATTTTAATTTATATGGCAGTGACTCAGTCTGGTTGCGTACAACGCTTTTATGACAAATCACAAAGGTCTGCTGGTGTAGAATCTGTTATTTTTTTGTTTTTTAACCTTTTTTTGCTCAATTCGTTAGTAAATGTAACATTTCTGTTTATATGGGATTACGTCATTGTGAACATGTATAATTGATAAACAAGCTAAAGCAATGGAGGCGAGCCAGTGTGGAACTCCCAGCATAGTTGCAAAAACAAAATCAGTCCAATATTAAGTTTTCAAATAAGAAGTTTGATTCCAAGAGGGCTAAAACTTGAGTTGAGCTTGGAAAACAGTAGAATCATTAGAGTTCACTAAAGCTGGAGCTAAAGCTCAGGAAGCATCTGATGTCGCTGTAAATTTGATAGATGTGAGTACATATACTTGCTAATAATTCTACTGGTGTTAGCAATGCCTTATTCTAATCAACACTTATTTAGAAGCTACATCAATGGCGAACATCTGAATTTCTTTTACTTTAGCGGGACTGCCAGTAGATGGCGCCAGGTCTGTTTATGTAAGCTCTTTTTACCTGGTGCTGGGATTCAATTTAGGCTCAAAAAAGGATCTGCAAAACATTATCAAGATAGACTTTTTGAGAGTATCAAATCACAGTAAACCACAGAGGAACTGATATGGAACTAAACCAGTACTTATTAGGGGACTTCTGGTTGGTTAACATAAAATAAGAGTAAAAAATCTCAGTCTTGGTTTGGAAAAAAAACCAAGCTATTATTTTTATGGGGTTCTGTCATAGTTCTGGTTCTGTTATGTTTTCTTTGGAGTTTTCAGTTTTACTTTGCTCCATGTTTTCTTGTTTTAGTGGTTTAATTCTTATTTTGTTGTGTTTTCTGGTTGTTTTCAGGTTTTTATTTGTTGCCCTCTGCTGCCCTCTTGTGTTCTCCTCTTTCTGTAGCCTAATTTCCTGTCTGCTCTGTTCACATCTGCTCCCAATCTGCTCGTTAGTCCTCTCTTTGTTTCAGTCTCCCATTCAGTTCCTCAGTGCTGGTTCCTCGTCAAACTTCCTCCTACTCCATCTCTCTGAGTCTTCCTCCTCGTGATAGTCTTCCCCCAGATGTCTCCATGGTTTCATGTTTGTTTGACTTTGTTTTCATGTTTTGATTTTTGAATTTTTGGATTTCCTGCCTCCGTTTTTAGTTGTTTGTTTATTCATCATTAAATCATCAAGAAACTCACCTCTGCCTCTCTGCCTCTGCATTTGGGTCCACAAACCTCAACCAAATCCTGACAGGTTCATTGTGGCAAGCATCACATCAAGTAGTTTTGATGACCTAATAAATACATAACCAGTACTTGATCATTATTTAGTGTTTTTGTGTCCG